GTGTGTGTGTATAAATATATATATATATATATATATATATATATATATATATATATACACACACAGTACTGTGCAAAAGTTTTAGGCAGGTGTGAATAAATACTGTAAATTAAGAATGCATTCAGAAATAGAAGTGTTAATAGTTAATTTTTATCAATTAACAAAATTAGTAAAAAAATAAATGAACAGAAGAGAAATCCAAACAAATCAACATTGGATGTGACTACCCTTTCAAAACAGCATCGGTTCTTCTAGGTACACTTGCACACAGTTTTTGAACTTGACAGGTATGTTGTTCCAAACATCTTGGATAACTAACCTCAGATCTTCTGTGGATGTAAGCTACTTCAAATCCTTCTGTCTCTTCATGTAATCCCAGACAGACCAGATGGTTTTGAGATCAAGGATCCATTGGGGCCAAACCATCTCTTCCACGATTGTTCTTCTTTATCCTAAATATAATTCTTAATGACATTGGCTGTATGTTTGGGGTTGTTGCCTGCAGCAGAGTAAATTTGAGGCCAATCACATGCCTCCCAGGTGGTTTGGCATCATGGATAAATATCTGTCTATACTTCTGTCACGTACCTGATAGGAGACTGAATTGACGAGGTCGGCCTCACTTGTGTCACTAGCCCTGATCCCACTGAAGTTGGAACAGAGGGAGTCTATGGACCAGGGGGACAAGAGCACCAGAGGTTTGCTTGCGGCTCTTGCAGATGATGACCTTGGTAGGCAGGATATCCTCTGATTTGGGTACTGTAGCAATAGACCAGGCAGGTACAATGGATTGCCAGATGCACAGCAGAACCAGGTATGTAGCCAGGACACAGGACTGGAGCGGATTCGTAGGATAGCCAGGGTCATAACAGTCGGGCAGCGCGTTACAGGATCAGGAGGAAAAGCCAAAGTCAGGATCAGAGCCAAAGTCAGGAACGGGGGCAGGAGAGTACTCAGAGTTGGGTCAGGAACAAGCCGGGTCAGCACCAAGGAAACAGACAGGAGCAAGCAGGACATGGGGGGAGCTGAAGACCAGTCAGCACTGAATCTGGGCAGAGGTGCACCTTAAATAGCCCGTCTGGCGCCAATCTTCGCCGTGCCTGCGCACAACCGGCAATTCTTCTGCGGGATCTTTTTCACGCATGCGCGTTCTCGATCGCGATTCTTCTTGCAGGAACTCTCTTACACCTTCTCAGCACTGAGGACACTAGGATGAGTCCTGGATATGAGTTATGATGGCTCCAGCCATATGACTGGCCAAGCCACAATGACGTCACTCCCCCACCCCGAGGAAGTCACGAGACCACGTGACGTAACACGTAGGTAACGCCGATACGCAGCTTCCGGTACGAGTGGCGCACTTCCGGTGGAGGACGCCATCTTAGTACACCCAGTACACCCAGGAAGTACCACATGGATGTAGCATACCCACATACAGCAGGAGGAAGGGACTGCATGTTCATGTGAGTGTACTTCTTATGTTTAAATAAAAATACTGCATTAATAATACTACACTATGGAGGATCTTTTTATTGCTCACTAGGATTGTAAGTAATATACCCTACAGAGTACCCTTATAAAAGGCAGAGGAGGAAGCATTTGGAGGCTGAACAGGAGACCATTTATGATCCTTGGCTTTCTGGAGAGTTATTAGCCGGAGATATAAAGGATCCAGAGTGTTCCTGAATGCTTGTTGGGCCCTTTTGGGTCACAGGAAGGAGGTGAGGAGGCACTGCAGCCGGAGTGGATTTAAAGTGTGCCGCACTTGCACGAAGTGTTCACGTTTAACACATTGCATGGTTTTTTATCATGTTTTATCAACACTTGCTACTTTATGGACTTATTAGTGTTTGCTTTAAAAGGTTTTTTGATTATTACCAAGGACACTTAACACCAGTTTATTTTATTATATAATTTGTGTATTCATCACTATTTTTAGGTCACTAAAGTGACCCGTACACTAGTATTGTCCACTTTTGTGTTATCACGGTTCTTATTAGTCACTTTATTGCTATATGCATATTTTTGTTTTTTTGACTCATTAGCACTTTATTAATATATGGATACATATTTATTTTTATTCATTTTTATTCACTTTTGTAGTTAGCGCTGCACCATTTATTTTTATTTTCTGATTGGTATGATCATTGGGTGTTGGTCGCTATTGGTTAGGTTATTTCCGTATCAGCGCAGAAGGATTTTTAGTTTTTCTTTTCATGCCTCTTAATAAATACCTCAGACTGTCTACTTTGCAAAAAGGGGTCATTTGGGGGATATCTGTACTGTTCTGACATATTTGGGCCTCAAGAAATTAGATTGGCCGTCAGTACTTCAGGATTGATCAATTTTCATATATATTTCACAGTTTGTGAACTCTATAACTTTCCTACAGACTAAATAAAAAATACTGACTTGGGTTACATTCACCAAAGAAATGTAGCAGAATACATCTTGGCCTAAATTTATGAAGAACAATTATTTATTTGCAAACTTTTACAACAGAAACAAAGAAAAAGGTGGGTTTTTGTTTTTCAAACTTTCCGGGCTTTTTATGTTAATTTAGCAAAAAAAAAAACCCCAGTGGTGATTAAATACCACCAAAACAAAGCTCTAGTTGTGTGAACAAAATGATAAAAATTGAGTTTGGGTGGAGTGTTGCATGACCGCACAATTGTCATTCAAAGTGTGAGAGTGCTGAAACCTGAAAATTGGCCTGGGCAGGAAGGGGGTAAAAGTGCCTGGTATTGAAGTGGTTAAATATATCAATAACCTCTAGGAAAAAAAAACAGAGACAGTTCAAAGTTTCTTTACCTATCACCTTTATCAACATATTAATTCCAGGAAAAACAAAAACTAAAATATAGAATTCATGGGTTTAATAACAGCGCACATAGTGAAACATAGGAATAATATGGTCCTCCAAACAGTAAATTAACTATACGATAGCAAAAAAGGGCAACCCTAAAAAATGGGCAATCATATACAATACTTGGACAATAAACAGTCAATTGTTACAATATGTTGACTAAAATGGCTAGTTTTGAGGGGCAATCTGTGACAACTCATTAACAACAAATAGGCAGTCATGACAAAATCTAGGCAACAGACACATACTTGTGAAAATATGCATGCAACAAATGGACAATTGAGCTGATGCACAGGTAACAAATGGGCTGTCATATCAATATATGAGGAACAAACCAACAATTGTGACAACATGGAGGCAATATGTAAATGGACAACCATTACAATACATGGACAACAAATGGGTAATCATTATAATACACCGTCAGCAACTGGGCAATTGTATAAATACGTGAACAACAAATAGGCAGTTGTGACAATATGTGGGCAACAAATGGTTAGTCATGACTGTATGCAGACAACAAGTGGACAGTTGTATAAATACGTGAACAACAAATAGGCAGTTGTAACAATATGTGGGCAACAAATGGGCAGTCATGACTGTATGCAGACAACAACTGGGCAATTGTATAAATACGTGAACAACAAATAGGCAGTTGTGACAATATGTGGGCAACAAATGGTTAGTCATGACTGTATGCAGACAACAAGTGGACAATTGTATAAATACGTGAACAACAAATAGGCAGTTGTGACAATATGTGGGCAACAAATGGTTAGTCATGACTGTATGCAGACAACAAGTGGACAATTGTATAAATATGTGAACAACAAATAGGCAGTTGTGACAATATGTGGGCAACAAATGGTTAGTCATGACTATAAGCAGACAACAACTGGGCAATTGTGACAGTGGGCAACACAAAGACCAATATATGTGCAGAAATTCTGCAAATATGACAAGATGCAGGCAATAAACTGGCAATTGAGTCATTTCCTGGGTAACAAATGTGTAATCAGCTAATACGCAGGCAATTGTCACAAAGTGGGGGCAACAAACCGACAATTGTTACAATACACAGGTAAAGTGACAACAGTGACAATAACTTGAGCCTCGTCAGTGGGGCAAAGTCATATTGTTATAAGCATCAATGTTCCCTGTATATGTGGTTAGTTTTCCCTTAACATTGGTGATATACTGTACAACACCCTGGAGCAGACTGTATGAGGGGTATGGTGCACCCACCTCCCTGCCCTAGGTAACTCTTTTTAATTTTTGTATCATTTATTTGTGTTGAATTGCTCAGGATTGTGACACATTTCTGCCCATGGACAGTAGTACAACAGTGATAACTATACTCAATTGTTACTTAGCTTCTAATGTGAGACAGTGATAATAACACCTACACCAAACAGTCAGCACATTCCTAATAAACATTGTAATAGAGGTGTTAGTTTGACTGCTAAATGTTTGCACCCTTTGTAGCTGATAGCAGTTAATTCTGCAGTGGAAGCATTACTCTGCATTGAATATAAGTGAATCAATATTTCAATCTACAACACTCATGAATTCACTGTATTTACAAATATACCCAGTGAAGAAGGGAGTGAAAAGGATGGTTGAACTGCTTCTGCTAATAACAAAGATCATTCAGATTGCAGAATAGCACTGTTAGTTCTCAGCTCTGATTTGAATACAGTAGTGGATCAGAAGTGCAGGGCTGTAGGGGTTAATTGTGGAATGTCAGAGCAGATGCCCCAGTAATAATATCTGGCAGCAGCCTGTATTGTCCTGTGACAGCCATGCAATGCAAGCTCCTGAGGGAAAGCAGTGCACATCCCTGACATTCAGCAGATAGGACCAATGAATACGTAGGCAAAAACTGTGCAGGAGCCAATGAAAAATCACTGTGCACTGACTGATAGAGGAGGAAAACAGCCAATGGTGCTGTGCATTACATCTGAGCATCACAGACCCTTTCCCAGCTGGCAATTGTCATGGGAAGGGAGTAGGAGGAATGAGATGTATCAGAGAACAGAAAATACAGAATAACAACAAGGGGCATCCTCACATCCATTAACCCCCTAAGAAAAGCTCCGACTGCAATAAGGTGACCGATGGGATTTCTGCTACCATGGCAGCTCTATACCAGAGCACCGACTCTTCCTCTCCAAATAAATTCTTGGCTTTAAAAGACGTCAGAGAAGTAAAGGAAGAAACCACCTTGGATGAGAAGCTCTTCTTGCTGGCCTGTGAAAAAGGTATGGGCGATAATCAATCAATCAATCAATCAATCAATCAACCAACCAATCAGTCTATCTATCTATCTATCTATCTATCTATCTATCTATCTATCTATCTATCTATCTATCGAATGAACCTGTTGTGGCATCAAGCAGCCATTCAGGTTCACAGGAAATACATTTTATGTAAATAATTCCATAAACCAATTCCATCGATTCCTGATATGTGATACCTGTTAGAATAAATTTACGTGACGACTATAAATGATGTCTTTTATTACAGGTCATCTTGGAAATGCAATGTTTTCATTAAACTTACTTTGAGCTCCATGCCTTTTCTTATCCTGCTTGATTACAGTTGTTATTTATCTAAATATACTGGGTGCACAACCACCATCCAGTTTTTAGAATGAAGGAAAATGCATGGGACCGACTCTACAAAGCTTGCTTATAAATGTTTCAAATTGATTGTTATGCGTATACAGTCTCTAATATTTGTAGGAAAAAGAAAAATTGCATAGTGTATTATTATTTTATTACTACTACTACTACTATTATTATTGTTATCGTTAGTACACAGGATTGACATAGCGCCAACAATTTGCGCAGCACTTTACAAAATAAAGGGAGACAGTAGCATTATAATGCAATTTAAGACAAGAAGGTTTCTCATGAGAACTTACAATCCAAAAGGGGAAGGGCAAGTAAACGAAAGGTAATAACTGTGTGGGGATGAGTTGTTCAAGAAATAAAACTTCACTTACTAGGTATTACTACCATTCTGTAATCACTCTATAAGTTGAAATGACATAACAACATAAGTACAGTATATTGTCATATTCACTGTGGATCTAGGATTCACCAGCCTGTGTATTTGTACTTAAAGTGTTACTAAACCCACAACAGTAAAATCAAACTGAATATGCAGTAAAGCATGCTTGTTATACTCACTGTGGAACCTAAGGGGTTAATCCTCCGCATTGTGTAAAAAGGCTGTTTGATCCTGACTTCTCTGATCCTCCCCTTTTTCTACTGTCCCCAAGCCATATGCTGATAGTACAGAGCTCTAGGACATACTCAGTTTAGTGTGCATTGCTAGAGAGTTTTTTTTTTCTTTGGGAGGGTGCATGTGATCAGCACAAGTCCAAATAGCCCTGTCCAGACAGAGTGTCAGGGGTCATACAGCCTCATAGGACAGGCAGGGAAGAATGAAAACTCCTCCCTCAAGTGTTAACGAGTGCTCAGCTGGACACTGATAGAAATCACAAGAGTGCTATATACTGCTGATGAGAAAATATATTTAGCAGTTTGTATTTACTAAAATAATTGCATTTCCATGTTCTGTGTACTGTGTGAGACGAGCTATAGTAAATACAGAGTCCTGGGTTTAGTAACATTTTAATACCTACATATTTATTTTTCAACAGGATTCTGAACCATAAATATCAATCCATGCAAAAAATGCACGGACAAACCTACTGCATACATTTTGGATAGGATACACAGCATAGAAAGGCACTTTACAAAACAAATGTCATAAGACAAACACTAAGGCCATTGATGAGCTCTGTTTTAAACTTATTAGTTGCCTGGTTGTCATACTGACTCTCTTGGATCAAGTTTGAGGTACTGACTCAGAAAAAGTACGAAGATCAAAATTGTTGTCTTTTCCTTGACTTTCCTGATCTGTATACTTGTTCCTGATCGCTTACTAACAGTGAAAATATTAAAGTGGAACTCCAGACAAGCAGCGAAAAACACCTATTAAATATATTAATGGAAGCTGTTCTTCCTGCCAAAGGATTTGTGATTTTATGTATAGAGTTCTGGAAGTTACATCCTTCCCACTCAGGCAGTACCTGTCTCACATGGGAGGACCTCATTTTTCTTTGTTGCAGTAATATAATACTTACAGGTCTTTTCCATCCCCAACTGCTGATTGGATATTGAAAGGAAAAGCAGCAGACTGATGAGCCCACGTTTCTGTTCTGTCCTTCTGCAAACATCCAGGACTTCAAACTAGGGTGGATAAAAATCAATGATTTTTTTTTAAAAAATCAAAAAAATCTGATTTTTTTTTATTTAAATCGGATTTTTTTGATTTAAATCGGATTTTTTTTAATAAAATGCTTTTTGAGGAAAATATATTACCATCCAAAGGTTATTCCATCATGAAATAAAGATTAGTAATTTAATTATGTAGAATAAGGCTGTATATGTTTAATTTTTTTGGTAAATAAATTCCATTAATCCATTCACAATGTCATGCTCTTCCAGAGGTTTTTTTAAGATTATTGGGCAGTTTCTCTGCCTACAAGATATTATCACAGATGCTTGGTTTACTTTTGCAGTTCTCAAAGCTGAATTTGACTCAGCGGAGATCACATGCCTCTTCTTCACAGCAAAAATGTTATAACATGAACAGAGTTAAGAAAAAGACCTTCATCCTAACTTCTACAAACCTATGAATACAGAATCAACCCCTTCAGTGCTAAGTTTCAAGAAGTTCAGTGAATAGAATAGAAACAATATTTTTCTGATTGTTTGGAGTGGAATAGATCTGCACAAGAAGAAAGTGAAACTAAGTGTGAGGAGGAAGGGGCTGACAGTCTAAGTTTCTTAAAATATATATATTTTGTTTAGCCAAATTAGTTAACAAACATGGATGTTTGTTTAAGCAAATAACATATGCTGTAATGTTATTGTTTCAGATGAATAAATCTATTTAAATTGTTATTATTAAGGTAATGATTATTTTTCTCCTTCCTAAATACAACAGAAAAGTTGTCCAAATATATTAAACTGGGGATAAAAAAACTAATATGAAAAGTTGCTATTCTAAAAATCTTCATCTATTGGCATATTAAAGTTATACCAGCAAGAATTAGTCATTATGTAGAAAACTAGGATTTAAATCAAGCCTTACTGACTAGTGATTTAAATCGTGATTTAAATCAGTTTGATTTAAATCAAATCCACCCTGCTTCAAACCAAGTAATTGGCTACTTGTGCTGCTTCTCTCTTCCCAAGTCTGAACTATACAGTACAGGGACTACAAGAGGCTGGTACCTGAAATGCTTGCAGTAACAAAACACATTTCCTGACTTAATGATGAATACAAAGCTGCATTTACTTGTATCTTTTATATCCGTTGGAAGTTCATGTTTATAGCTAGTGGGTCTAAATAATAGTGAGTCAACTAGCATTTTCAGAAAGAGGTCACTCATGGCCATCAACCATCAGTAGCAGCTCTCATATTACTTGTGGCTCTCTCGTTTTTTTTAGGGGGGGGGGAGGATCGGGTACCTAGTTTTGATAAGTACTTGCTCCCACTTCCTAGGCAATCAGAGGTTCTGCTCCCCTTTGCCCACAACTTACTGGGACATGTCACAAGTCCCAGAAGGTTGCAGGACCATTCACAAAGCACAGTGCGGATTGTTTATGTGCATTTGGGAGCCATCTGTGAAGCATCAAGGTATCACAGCTAGTTTCCCTTAGCAAACATGCCAGTACGGGGACTCAAAGAATGACGAAAAACCAGTCCAAATAAAGACGGCGCTGGATCCCTGGACAGGAATATGTCCTTTTGTAGAATTTGTACCTGTTGACTTTACTTTTTTTAGGGGGGGCAGACTTAAGATCCTGTTTAACCGCTTGCCCTCCAGAGGATTTACCCCCCCCTTCCTGATCCGGTCATTTTTTGCGATACGGCTCAGCGTTACTTTACTGACAATTGCAAGGTCATACAACACTGCACCCTAATGAAATTTGTGTTCTTTTTTGCCCACAAATAGAGATTTCTTTCTGTGGTATTTGATCACCTCTGTGCTTTTTATTTTTTGCGCTATAAAGAAAAAAAGACCGACAGTTTTGAGAAAAAAACATTTTTTTCCTTTTTGCTATTAAACATGTCCAGTAAAAAAATTAAAAAAATCTAATTTCTTCATAAATTTAGGCCAAAATGTATTCTGCTACATGTCTTTGCTAAATAAAAATACCAATACGTGTAAATTAATTGGTTTACTTGAAAGTTATAGCGTCTACAAATGACAGTATAGATACTGGAATTTATACTAGTAATGGTGGTGATCAGCGACTTATAGCGGGACTATGGCTAGCATTCTGACACTGGGGGAGAACTGGTTAACTGTCACTGACATCCCCAGTGACACTAATACAGTGGCCAGTGCTAATAAAAACACTGACACTGTACTAATGACACTGGACAGGAAGGGGTTAACATCTGGGGCGATCAAAGGGTTAACTGTGTGCTGTGTTGTGTTTTACTGTGTGCTGTGTGTGTGTTTACTGTGTAAGCACATTGCTTTGTATTGCTCTGCTATGCAGAGCAATACAAAGTAATGTGCAGGAGCTGACAGGGGAGAGATCTGTGCTGCTTATATACAGATCTCTCTCCCGTTGGTGATACATGGCAATCACCAGGTGCCAGCAGGGAATCACCGGCCGGGACCCAGTGATCAATAGGTGAGGCCGCCAATGGCGACATGGGTAGGGCACGCCGGTTCACGTGCGCCCCCTACCCAGCACTGCAAAATCATGTATGTATACATGATTTTGCGCACCCCTGCTGCCCTGTAGCACTATTTCTGCTATAGGAAGTGGGAAAGCGGTTAAGCATTTTTTCTGCTAGACATAATTCAATATTTTCTTTTTTATAACAAGATACCACAAAATCATTTACAGTAAACAAGCAAAACCTGTCTCAGCCCTGTATCTGCAATACTGCTACCAGACACTGGTCAATGGACAATCTGGCAGCTGCAGAGAGACAGACAAACACAGGCAAAATGCTGGCTGTTATCTAAAATTCAAATCCCTAGGCTCTCTGGAAACCATGAAATTGAGATAATTCTCAGCATGAAATGTTTTATTTTGTCATTTGCTACTTTCTCTTTGGTAATTCTCAGAAAAAACAACATCAAATAAAGATGCACAAAAATGAGTTGATTGACATAGCAGGTTAAGATGGCCTCACATGAAAACATCAGGCCAAGCAA